AAATGGTTTCCCGAATTTATAATAAAATACCCTCGTTCCGTGGGGGTAGGCAAGTCGGGTGTTATAGATACTCGTACGCCGAGTTTTGCCGTGCGCGTTAACCACTGCTGTAGGCGCTCTCTAAATGTTCTGCCTCTTCTCCTTGACATCTAATTATTTAAATTATAATTTAAAGTGATTGAAATTTCGTTAATAAACTCCGAGAGGACTGCTTTATGCAGCTCAGAGACGAAAAGATGTAAGTGTGAAAGAATTATGTAAAAGTAACACGGTCGCCCTTAGGGAAGCGTACTGTAACTTGACACGGAACACGGATGCGGCCGTTTAAGAGATATTAAAACAAATGATCATAAAAGAAAGGAATTTATTTTAATGTATATTTGTTGGCTTTGTGACGTCAAACAATTATAATTATTGTAATGATAATAGTTGTTATAATAATTGGAAAGTGATAATAAAATTTGAGTCGAGTTGGCGGTAATGAATTTCTTATAATTTCTCGTGTAAATACTCAAAAACTAATATAATAGTAACTTACGATTATTGTATAGTAGCTGTGCGTCGCTCTTATAATAATTCGCCAGGACACGCTCGCAAAGGTCGGTCGGTGTTGCCGGCGGTCAGTCGAAGGGCCCGGGCGGTGGCCTATTGGTAGCAGGCGACGGCCGGAGCGGAAGTAGAATATTTCGGTATCGTTTCCGAATTGTAGTAATATCGTGTAGTAATGAGTAATTTTTCCCGAACAAATGCTTCGTAGCAACGGGTCGGCGAGAAAAATTGTGTGTCGCACTATGTGTGAAGTGTTGAAGAAGAACTCGAACTGCGGAGCAAAAATTACGTGTGAGTGTCGCGAGGAAAAAATGATGAACTGCGACTGCGACTGCGACTCCTCGCGACTGCGATTGCGACTCCTCGCGACTGCTCGCGCGCTCCGGTGGCAAGGCTTATATAGGCTTCGGCGGCTTCCGACGGCGGCCGGACTGCAGCGCCGAATTGCAGGGTGGCATGGTGGTCCCAAGTCGGCCTTCAGTAAAGGGATTCCACTACTCTTCAGCTTCCTGGTACTGCATGCGGGTGGCTGAATGACGTGATGCACGGTGGCGTGATGCATAGCAACGCAATGATGTCATTTTGTTATCGTTCGTTCGTGTCCATGCGAGTTCGCAACGCGAATATTTTATATTTTTCTAATTGTATTAATAATTCTGTTGTTATGTATGGCCTTTTATACTTCCCCATTAATTGCAATGATATATTATCATACTAGAGTGCTTTTATTGTACTGTTGACGATTTTACAATTTAATCTCGGCCCTTTTTAACAATTGAATTATTAAATCCGCTGTTAAAATAGGTTTTCGCTTAAAATACTACTTATGCTACATCTCAGTTAGTACAAATCGGCCAATGGCCACTATGGCCTTTTAATATTATAGTGACGCGAAAGTTTTAAAGTTTTTGGAGGCCTGGACGTTACAACTGTATATATATATGTATGTGAGTAGGTTAGGAATGGAAAATAATAGATCGTCCTTAGAGATTATAAAATTATACTAACTGGATCTGGTAGAAAGGAAGTTGAATCATATAACTATAGAATTCGAGTATAATATATAAGTATATTCTTAATTGAAGTGTGATATAATATTGTAGTGTGACATATATAAAATTGTAGTGTAGAATGAATAACGGATTATACAATATCCTTAAATTACATCGATTATATTAAAATATTGAATCAAAAGTTTGACGACAGGTACTTTGCTAAAGACCTACCGGGGCAAGTGTCGGATAAATATGAAATAAAACTTACAGTCAAAATCTCGCAGAGACACGATGAGTCTGGTAAGAGTACGCTTATGCTGGTCCGTACGGGTTCGCAAGGGGTCGCAGATGAATAATGAAATTGCCGAACAAATGCCTGAGGCAACGGGTTGGAGAGTACGCTGAATCTCGAAGAATCCACGAGCAAATGCGAAGATAGTGTAAAATGCTTCACGCAGCTGCATGAGCGTAAACTTGGTATAAGCTGACTGTCTCGAAAAATTCCCGCACAAGTGTCGCGGATGCTCCGGGAGCACCCCTTTTATAGGTCTCGAACGCGCGCTTCGGCTGGGTTCGGTCGGTTCCGACGGCGGTCGGGTCGCAGCGCCGCATCCGGTGCCGAGACGGTGGTCTCGAGTCGGCGTTTTTTCAAAGGGATGCCGCTGCGCTTCGGCTTTTCGTTTGATGCGCTCGGGTGGTCTGATGACGTTATGCGCTGTGGCGTGATGCATAGCGATGATGCATCACGGTGATGTCATGCTGGACGTGTTCATTCGTGTCTGCGCGAGTTCGCTCGCGAATATTCTTATATTATTTTAATTCCCTACCAATTCCTTCGTCATGTATGGCCTTTTGAGTAGTTATATGAATACTTCATTTCTATAATAATCCGAGTTTATCCTTGGCCGTTTTTGACGAGAGAATTAATAAGATTCCTTGTTTTTGACTAAAATGAAACTTATAATGATTAATTAGAGTTATTCTATGAGAGCTCATGATATCGTGGACTTTGGATTGTCATCTTTAACGTACCTTTTGAATTCTTAATTATTTCTTACTGCGGATCAATTTGCCTAAAATATATTCCGTCCTTGTCTACCGATATCGTGACTTCTCATATAGCGCTACGAATGGTTTAAGTATACTATTTGGTTCATACGACGTTCTATGTCTCAGGTTAGCGCAAGTCGGCCTCTGATTATCGCGGAGTTTAAATATCGTAGTAATCGCGAAAAATTAAAGTTTTATGGGGCTGGGACGTTACACTAGTCGCTGGACGACACGCCATTTTGGGCGTTGTTGAAGGGCATGCAAGTAATCTCCCGACCATGACTTCCAAAAACTTTCGGTGATTCGTTGGACCATTTGCCAACGCGACAGTCGGATTTCGTTTAAGTCAAGCACGTTTGGTTCAGCGAGAGCGATAAAAGGGATTCCAATTAAAAAATGACCGGGAGTCAGAGCGTGATAATCGTCGGGATTTTCAGAAATGGGAGCGATCGGACGCGAATTAAGGCACGCTTCGACTCGACAAAGGAGCGTCGACATCTCCTCGAAAGTTAGCGTGTGGAGGCCGATGCATCGTTTTAAATGATGCTTAACACTTTTAACGCCGGCCTCCCACAGGCTACCGAAGTGAGGCGACGCAGGAGGTAGAAAGTGTCACGCGGTTCCGTCGTGAGCGAGTCGGCTGCGGAAGTTAGGATCGCATATTGCTGCAGCATGGGCATTTGAAAGTTCGCGATCGGCGCCGTGAAATGTGGTTCGTTGTCAGAGTACATGGACGTCGGTAATCCTCGACGAGAGACGAATCATTGATATACTGCGATAAAGGTAGGAGAGTTGTAGTCGCTGACGAGCTCTAAGTGCAGAGCTTTGGTCGTGAGGCATACGAACAACGCAATATAGGCCTTTTGCGATTTATGCCCTCGACCAGGCGCTGTGCGGACAACGATCGGACCTGCATAATCGACGCCGGTATGGATAAAGGCGCGAATGGTGCGGTTGACTCTCGCAGCCGGAAGGTTACCCACGAGTTCGACGGGGACGTCGGCGCGTTCACGCGTGCATGGTATACACTTATAAAGGACGGATCGAACAGTGGCACGAGCCTGGAGAATCCAAAATTCGTTCCGCAATGACGTGAGCGTTAATTGTGAACCGGCATGCAACGTTCTCAGATGATGATGCTGGATAATGAGCACCAACAGCGGATGCGAGCGTAATACGACGGGATTCTTCATCGCTCCTGGTAAGCAAGCTCGACGGAGTCTTCCTCGAATTCGAATGAGTCCCTGTTCATCCATATAAGGATTAAGAACAGACAGCGGACTGCTCTTCAGCACCGATCGCTTCTGGCTAAGAGCAACGATCTCGTGAAGGAACATGTCTGATTGCATGGTTTTGAGCCAGTAACATTTTGCCTTCTGAATTTCTTCGGGAAGCAAAGTCGCGGAGGTCTGTGGTGGGTTTTTAGAGCGTCGGATTCGACTGAGAAAGCGGTACAGGTAAGCGGTAATACGTAGCAGTTGTGGCCATGAAGAGTAACGCGACGCGAGATCCCAATTGCACGTAGCATGCAAGGCATATCCCGGTGGGTTCGGGCGTTGTTCGAGAGGAACATCAGCGGATATCGGAGGGCAGAAGTTTGGCCAAGATTCGGAAAAGTGGTGTAGCCATGGAGGGCCGGACCACCATAAGGCATGAGTTTCGAACAGATCGGGAGCGAGACCGCGTGACGCGCAGTCCGCGGGATTGGTGTGCGTCGGATCGTGACGCCATGAGACTCCAGGGAGGAGGGACTGCACAGCCGAAACACGATTAGCGACAAAGGTTTTCCATCGAGAAGGAGATTGACTGAGTCAGGCGAGGGTAATGGTGGATTCCGTCCAGCAGTGGCACTCGAGATTCGGGAGTTGGAGCGCTGCTCGTGCGAAATGCATCAAGCGCGCGAGAAGCCACGCAGCGGATAACTCCAATCGTGGGATTATCGTTTTAAGAGGAGCCACCTTTGATTTGTCGGCGAGAAGAGAGACGGTGATGGAGCCGTCTACGTTGACGATGCGCAGGTATACTGTCGCTGCGAAAGCTGCAGTTGAGGCGTCGGAAAACCCATGAAGGGCACAATGTAGAGTATGAGAGCCGTAAGTTGTCCAGCGCGGAATGCTAATGGCGTTGAGACATGGAAGTCGTTGATGGTAATCCGACCAGTAATCAAGAAGTTGGCTGGGAATTTTATCATCCCACTGACATTGGAGTGACCACAATCGTTGCAAAGAAATCTTTGCGGTAATACTGACAGGAGTAGCCCATCCTAAGGGATCGAAAAACTTGGCGATGGTCGACAAAATGGCTCGTTTGGTGCATCCGGGTATGTTCGGTACGGTTACGCGGAATTGAAAAATATTTAGCTTCGGATTCCAAAATATGCCTAAAATCTTGAGATGCTCGTCGTCTTGAAGCACCTTGTGCGTAGCTAATCCATAATCCGCGGGATCGAGATCGGACAATAACGAGGTGGCATTGCTTGCCCATTTTCGAAGGCAAAAGCCTCCTTTCTTTAATAATGCTATTAAGTGATCGCGGGTCTGACGAGCAAGAATTTGGTCGTCTGCGCCGAAAGCACAATCGTCAACATACGTTTGATGACGTAAAACGGGAACCGCGAGCGGAAATTCGGCCTCGTCATCTTCGACGAGCTGAGCTAGAACCCGAAAGGCTAAGTATGGAGCGGCTGCTGTACCATAGGTAACGGTGAGGAGACGGTAATCCGTTATGGGTTCACCTGGAGTTGGTTGCCACACAATACGTTGGTAGTCGATATCTCGGGAGTCAACTAGGATTTGCCGATACATCTTTGCGATGTCAGCGGTAAATACGTAACGATATTGACGCCACTGCATTAAGACAGTGGCTAAATCCTTTTGAAGCTTAGGTCCTATGAACATATGGTCGTTCAACGACGTCTCGTTTGACGTGCGACATGACGCGTTGAAGACTACTCGTAAGCGGGTTGTTGCACTGCTGTCACGTAAGACAGCGTGATGCGGAATATAACAAGTTTGCCCTGGTTTGACAATTTCTGTCGGTGGGCATTTAATCATGTGACCGAGGGTTTTGTACTCTGCGAGAAATTCGCGGTACTCGGAAGCGTTAAGTGGGTCTCGACTTAGGCGTTGTTCCAAGCGGCGAAAGCTTGAAACAGCAATCGAGCGCGATTCGCCTATCAAGATTGGTGGCTCGGTTTTAAAGGGCAATCGGACGATATAGCGTCCTTCCGATGTACGAGAATGAGTAGCTTTAAAGTGCTCTTCGCACTGGTGTTCCTCAGGGCTCCGAGAAGCTTTCTGAGGCACTTCCTCAATTCCCCAGAAGCGACGAAGATCGCAATCGAGATTTTCAATAACGACTCCGTGATGCGCGAGAGCGGAAACTGAGTTAGTATGCGGCACCGAGGCTATCGGTCCAGACAGGATCCAGCCGAGAGTGGTATTTTGCGCGGTAGGCTCATGTTCGGAACCCCTTCGCACACCGTCGAGAACGAGCTTGCCGAAGAGATCGGCACCGATAATGATATCGATTGGATCCGAACTCATGGGATCATGATCCGCAAGTTCGAGTTCTGCGACGTGTTTCCAATTATACGCGATCTCGACT